GAGTGTCTGTTGAATTTGGTTTTCATAGCAGGTTTTCTAAAAATCTATCGTGTGGGCTAGGCACGGTGGCTCACTCCTGTAATCCTAACACTTTGGGAGGTGGGTGGATCACCTGAGGTCAGGGGTTCAAGAGTAGCCTGACCAACATGGCGAAACCCTGTCTCTACTAAAAATACAAAATTAGCCAGGTGTGGTGGTGGGCACCTGTAATCCCAACTACTTGGGAGGCTGAGACAGAAGAATCACTTGAACCCAGAAGGTAGAGGTTGCAGTGAGCCAAGATCACACCACTGCACTCCAGCCTGGACAACAAGAGTGAAACTCCATCTCAAAAAATAAAAATGTATAGTGTAAGTTTCTCAGTTGCATCTAAGCAGCATGAAAATAGCCAGTGTTAGCCGGGCACGGTGGCTCAAGCCTGTAATCCCAGCACTTTGGGAGGCCGAGGCGGGTGAATCACGAGGTCAAGAGATCGAGACCATCCTGGTCAACATGATGAAACCCTGTCTCTACTAAAAATACAAAAAATTGGCTGGGCGTGATGGCGCGTGCCTGTAATCCCAGCTACTCAGGAGGCTGAGGCAGGAGAATTGCCTGAACCCGGGAGGCAGAGGTTGCGGTGAGCCGAGATCATGCCATTGCACTCCAGCCTGGGTAACAAGAGCGAAACTCCGTCTCAAAAAAAAAAAAAAAAAAAAAAAAAAAAAAAAAAAAAAGAAAATAGCCAGTGTTTTTCATGCTACTGAAAAGTGATCATGGTATTTCCCCCTCTATTTTGAACATTTAGAAATGATCAGGTTCTCACTAGTTGTGGTGTTTTAAAACTGAGACTAAATAACAGAGAAGTAATGACAGGAAGGATGAAAAACAAATCATATAAAGCATAAAATGGGTCAGGGGCCTTCTGTGGAGCACCGAGTTGCTAAAAGAAACAGATGATTCCCAACAATTACAAGTTGAGTATTCCTTATCCAAAATGCTTGGGACCAGAAATGTTTCAGATTTTGGATTTTTTTTTCCAGATTTGGGGATATTTGCATATATATAATGAGATATCTTGGGGATGGGACCCAAGTCTAAACAAAATTCATTTGTGTTTCATATACACCTTATACACATAGCACAAATATTTTACACAATGTCTTAAATAATTTTGTGCATGGAAAAGTTTTTGTACATAAATCAGGTGTGGAATTTTCCACTTGTGGCATTATGTTGGCCCTCAATAAAGTTTCAAATTTTTGAGCATTTTGGATTTTTTGATTACAGATTAAAAAAAAAAAAAAAAGCGGCCTCCAACTTACTTCTATAACCAAAGAAACTAATTCTCTCTCTCTCTCTCTCTCTCTCTCTCTCTCTCTCTCTCTATATATATATATATATATATATATATATTTTTTTTTTTTTTTTTAACATTTTATTTATTTTTTTGAGATGGAGTTTTGCTCTTGTTGCCCAGGCTGGAGTGCAATGGCACTATCTCAGCTCATCGAAACCTCTTCTTCCCAGGTTCAAGTGATTCTCCTGCCTCAGGCTTCTGAGTAGCTGGGATTACAGGCATGGTTTTGTATTTTTAGTACAGACTGGGTTTCTCCACGTTGGTCAGGCTGGTCTTGAACTCCTGACCTCAGGTGATCTGCCCTCTTTGGCCTCCTAAAGTGCTGGGATTACAGGTATGAGCCACCAACTCCCTCTGCCGCCCCTGGCCAAGAAACTGTATTCTAATGAGAGAACAATTTGCCCAATAACGGAACTCCCAATTGTTCCTTATTTCATAAGTCACAATATGCTTTAGGGCATATATTCTTAACTTTTCCTTAAACATGGATACTAAGTTTCTGCTTGGGTAATCCTATGTAACTATATAAATAATGCTGCAATGTAGTTAGTTATGGGAAGATAATGTGATGTGATATAACAATAGAAGTTAATACTTGCTCACCACTTCTTATGTGCCAGACTGTTCAAAGAACTTTAATAGTTCGTTTATTTCAACCATCCTACAGGTAGGCATGGTTATTACCTGCATTTCAATAGGTGAGAAAATGTTAAGTAACTTGCCCAAGGTCACAAAATTCCGAGTCAGGATTTAAACCTAGGCATAAAAGGAGCATGAGCTTTGGAATCAAACTTGGTGTTCAAATGTCAACTGTATAATTACTAAGGTAATTAAGTTCTTAAGTTCTAGTTTCCTTATTTGTAAAGTGGAGATGAATTACTGGAAGATGAAATGCATTACTGTATGCAAGCAAGCACTTAGCAGTGCGTGGCATATTGTTAAATACACAATAAGATACATGCTAGTTAGCAATAAATTTAAAATTCAAGTTTATAAATTCTTGTTCATTTTTTTCACCTTTAATTCATGAATCAGGCACTGTTCTGGGTACAGGGACTAAAAAAAAAATGACAGGCACTTATGTTTATGTTAAACCAAAAGTTAGCATTCTTGGACAGAAAAAAATAACGTAATTTATAATGTAGACTGCTAAGAGGTCCCCCCCAACACACACAAAAGGATTCAGATCAAATTATGCTGCACACACTCTACCTAGTTCTAACAATATTAAGGAAAATGTAGAAATTGTCATGATCAAACAAAAGCTTCAAATTTAACAAGTTTAATATCCATTCAAAATAAGATTTTTGTTTTATTCTGTTTTGAGACAGGGTCTCACTCTGTTGCCTACGCTGGAATGTAGTGGTGCAATTCATAGCTCACTGCAGCCTTGAACTCCTGGGCTCAAGTGATTCTCCCACCTCAGCTTCCCAAGTAGCTGGGACTACAGGTTCATTCCACCACACCTGGCTAATTTTTGCATTTATAGTAGAGATGGGGTTTTTGCAGTGTTGCACTTGAACTCCTGACCTCAAGTGATCCTCCCTCTTCAGCCTCCCAAAGTTCTGGAATTACAAGCGTGAGCCAGCACGCCCAGCCAAAACATGTTTTTAATAGATGAATTTGAGTCGACATGTTTTACTGTCTGTCCCTGGTAATTGGACCCTTGAGGTTTTTGTGTGTAATCTCATCTGAAAGGTAGGTAGCAACATTGTTTTTCACGTATGTAGATAAACAGGCTAAGTATTTATGAATAAAGTGAAATGTATGTGTACAGTATTAAAAATGTAAATTCCTTGGGGCAGCACACTATTGAAACATTTTGGTCATGCTATTAAACATATAGTTGTAAGTACAAAGTTTAAAGAAAACTCAAAGAGAATTTAAGTCAACATTAACATTTAACTAGATTCGTTTTTCCTATAAAGTTGTCTGCGTTTACAATAAAAATATAGTCTAGAAAACATGAAAAGTAGGGTTAATAATTTTCATGAGGATAGAAGTATACAGGAAAACAACTAGGATTATGGAACCCTTAACTAATGAATTTTAACCAGGAAGTACTAATATTTTCCTGTACTTTAATGAGATGGTCCTGTTACATATGCCTGATCATAAAAATACGTAACATTAGCTAACACTTATTGAAAACTTTCTATGTATTAACTCTTAAAAATACAATGAACAATGTATCATTATCATCCCAACTTGACAGATAAGGAAGAAAGAACAGTAACTTGCTCAAGGTCACAGTGCCAACAAGGGACAGAGTGAGGATTCAAAATGAGGCAATAGGGCTGGCTTCAGAAGCCCCTGACCTGTGCTGTTACACAGGACACTGCACTTAGTTTAATACCCTGCTGCCACTGTTTTGATATTCTTAATTTTTTGACAAAGAATCTACATTTTAATTTGGATTATCACAAATTACGTAGCCAGTCCTGCTAGGTAGTATGACTTCAGACTCTGCTTTTAACCATTATTACACCGAAGATGTACTATAGTAGATAAATTCTCTACCTTATTGTTGTACAAGAGTTATAAATTAAGTCATAAGCAGCACTTAGACACATTAAACAAAGCATTCCAGATTGAAATAAGATTCTGTTAACCAAAAAATCAGAAATAAACATCAAAATTGTTTTTATGAGCTACTTTACAAAACAGCCATACTGAAGGCCCACTTTATCCTCAAACGGTAAAATTCTCCTGGTACCCAACTAATATACTGGGCAAGGTAAAGCAAAATATGACTTGATACTCAGATACAAAGGGTTTTAGAACATAATTAAATAGGTAATTTTATATAAATAAACTTTTAGCATCTTCAGGTACCCCAGATACTGCAAAACTAGGAAATTTCTGCAAATAAAATTGCACAATTGCTTGAAGCTGAAATCTCATCATATCATTAGGGTCTTCAAAGTTTCTAGATTAACTTTAAAAATAAAAAAAGTAAACACTAACCCTCCTTAATTATTCCTCAGATCCTTTTCTGATTAACTGCTAAATTAGCACACATATAGAAGACACGCTTATGCCTAACCCTAGCCCAATAATGCCTAATGAATGAATAACTAATAAGACTTACCAGTAGGTCACATTTCAAAAAATCCAGGACAAAAAAAAAAATTCCCAAACTGCCACAAGTAACATCACAAAAAACATACACCAAGTTCATTTTTACTAGTCATCATATCAATTGAATATTTTTTCACTAAATTAAATATTTTTTAAACAAAATTTCAACAATTTGGCTTCCGAGCCTCAGACTGGAATATGAGCGGGGAGAGAGGCTGCTGCTAGAAGCAAGCAACTGAGAGCAACAAGTAATAGACACCGGAGATGAAGATTTTAAAAGTCGATCTACAAATTTTAAAAACATAATCTAAGGCCAAATCTAAACCTGTATATAAAACAAACCAAATCTAAACCTGTATATTTCTCAATTTCTGGGGCATCCTCTAAGTACAGATGAATGGGGAAGGGGTGGACTTCGGATTCCTTTACATACATTTTATAATCATTTCGATAACAAGAATCCATTCTGAATCTATTTTGTTAATGACTTTTAACACACCTGGCTATATGTATTAAATTCTGTAACTGCATGAATTTTCAGAAGTATTTTCTGATAGTTTATTTGACCTTTACAATCTAGGCGTTATTTCCAGTCTACCGCTAAGGAAGCTGGAACACCTGGAACTCCCCAGACTTGCCCTTCTAGGTAACACAATTAAGTAACTTGGGGCTAGAATCCTCTGGTTTTCGCATCTTGAGCTCTACTACGATCCTCAACAGACCCCAATCTTTACATCATCATACCATACAGCTAGCTCTTTCTCACCTATTCGGCAAATCCTGTCTAAATAAATTTCTTGAGATCCATTCTGGGATTCGCTCATGAGGGATTATCCTAACAAAACGAATCCTATAATCGCCCGTTCAATTTTGTATGAAAATTTTAAATGAGTTTGGCTTACATAAACATCAGCTCCTACAACAGAAATCACAGTACAGTACTCGGTGTTTCTAGGGGTAGGAGCCTAGGGGGAAAAAAAAGAGACAAAGGATTTCTCTCAGTAGCCTGGGGAAAGCGCTGACCTAGACGGTGCGGAGGTGGTTTTCGGAGCAGCTGCCTATCTCAGTGGCTCCCGACAACCGTCGGATGCGCACTGAAATGGAAAGGGGGAAGGGGAGAAGGGGCCTGGGGTGTTCGTCCTCATTCAAAACCAATGGCTGCAGAGAGGGCGACCAACTGTCCCATTTCCCACGCCAAAGCCTGGGGAGCGAAGTTCCGACCCCAATCCCTGTTCCAGCCCTGCCAGGCCAAGACCCGCGCATGACCGGACCGCTGGCCATCATCCTTAACCTCTGCTCCAGGTGCGCGTGCGTTCAACTTCCTGGGAACTGCGCGCCACACCATGTGCGCCCAGCTGGCGAGGATCACCAGCACCCCCAGCACCCCCAGGGGCCTCACCGGGGCACCAGACACACCTGTTAGATAAACCTGAAGGCAGGCCCGTCCCGGCCCTCGTGACACACGGTCCAGCTCTCGCCACCAGGCCAGGTCCCTCCTCACCCGTAGAGGCCCCGCAGTCCGCGCTCCTAACCGGGCGCGTCGGACTCTCCCCCACCAGGGTGCACAGCACCAGATCCGGATCCGGCTTCAGCGCCAGCCCCACCTCCTTCTCCACCGCCCGCTCCACAGTCGGGAACCGCGGCCCAGACGTGGCAGCGCCAACGCCTCCACCCCGCCTCTGCCCCCTCACGCAGGCGCCACCCGACCAGGCCGGGCGAGCGAGGGGAGGGGCCCGGGAAGCGGAGGCGGGACCAGGCGGGCGAGGGGCGGGGTCCGAGGCGCAGGGGCGGGACCAGGCGGGCGAGGGGCGGGGTCCGAGGCGCAGGGGCGGGACCAGGAGGACGAGGGGCGGGGTCCGAGGCGCAGGGGCGGGACCAGGAGGGCGAGGGGCGGGGCCTGAGGCTCGCGTCAGTGCCCCGGGCCGTGGCCGCCGAACTACAGCTGGGCTCGCCCGGCGCCTCCTCCTTGTTCCCCAAGGCCTTTCCCACCGCATCATTGTCTTGGTTTATCTGCAGATACGAATACCTAGCAGTTAGCACAGCAGCGCGAGGGATGACCAGTGCGGGCCTCTTTGATTCTGAGACCGAAGGCTGGGCCTCGGGCCCTCTCCATTTGTCGCTTGTTGCCCTCCCTTCATGATTCGATCAATTAATTAGGACTTTTCCTACCAGCCGGCAGCTCAGAGCTCCGTGTTCCCAGGCCCCTGAGTTACAGTTCCTGCCTTCATGAAACTAGAAGTTGAGGTTCTATTCCTTCGGGACTGTTTCATTTCTCAGTCCCTCAAACCCTTAGTGGATGAGCATGGAGTTAGGACAGTGGTTCTCAACTGCAGCAGTTTTGCCTCCCAGGAGACAGCTGGCAATGTATGGAGCATTTTCAACCTTCTTCTGGGGGAGAGGTGCCATTGGAATCTCCAGATGGTGGAGGGCACAGGTGAGTGGAGGCCGGCAAAACTGCTAAGCGCCTTACAATGCGCAGAACAGCGCCTCACAACAAAGAATTACTTGCCTGGGAGGCCGAGGCTGGTGGATCACCTGAGGTCAGGAGTTCCAGACCAGCCTGGTCAACATGGCAAAATCCTGTCTCTACTAAAATACAAAAATTAGCTGGGCGCGGTGGCACGCACCTATAGTCCCAGCTACTTAGGAGGCTGAGGCAGGAGAATTACTTGAACCCAGGAGAGGTCGCAATGAGCCGAGATGGTGTCACTGCACTCCAGCCTATGCAACAAGAACGAAACTGTCTCAAAAAAAAAAGACTTGGCCTGAAATGTCTGGAGTGCTGAGGCTGAGAAACCTTTTGCTAGGAGAAGAAAAGTGACTTTTCTCAGAGTCCCATTTCTGAAGTGGCTTAACTGGGTAGCACTTTGTCCATATTTTAACAGATGAGGAAACAGAGGTTCAGAGATGTTACATAATTTACAAAAGTCTCATAGCTAGTAGCTCTCCTTCCTTGCGTTGTACCATAATTTTCAACTTATTGAAATCACAAAGTATTTTATTCTTAAGCAACAGTATTCAAAGAATTAACCCCATAATATAATATAACCAGAAATTATATTTTTGGCTCATTTGTGAGATTTAAATTTCAGTTAACTCCTTTACTGACTTATGCTTTCTCAGAACTTCAAACATCAGTGAGCTGATAGCATCCACATCTCTGTTTTTATCTCTGTTTTTACACCCATACATACAAAAGAATACATAGGGCATAAGCAGGATGTGGCGGTGTGCATCTGTACTCCCAGCTACTTCAGGGGCTGAGGCAGGAGGATCACTTGAGCCCATGAGGTTGAATCCAGCCTGGACAATAGAGCAAGACCCCATCCCTAGGAAAAAAAAAATATAAGGCATAAATAAAAATAAACACTCATGACCAGGCATGGTGGCTCACATCTGTAATTTCAGCACTTTGAACTCCTCTTGAGCCCAGGAGTTCGAGACCACCCTGTACAACATGGCAAAAACCTGTCTCTACAAAAAAAAATAACAAAAATTAGCCAATCATGGTGGCATGTGCCTGTAGGCCTATCTACTCAGGAGGCTTAGGTAAGAGGATCACTTGAGCCTGGGAGGTAGAGGCTGCTATGAGCCATGATTGCATCACTGCACTCCAGCTGGGCCACAGAGCAAGACCCTATCTCGAAACAAACAAAAATTAAAAAAAAGAAAAAACAAAACACTTATGTACACACCACTAATCTTAAATATGTGGCCCTCCCTGTTTTTCTTTTTCTTTTTCTTTTTTTTTTTTTTGAGATGGAGTTTCACTCTTGTTACCCAGGCTGGTGTGCAATGGCGCAATCTTGGCTCACGCAACCTCCACCTCCTGGGTTCAAGCAATTCTCCTGCCTCAGCCTCCTGAGTAGCTGGGACTACAGGTGCACGCCACCATGCCTAGCTAATTTTTGAATTTTTAGTAGGGACGGGGTTTCACCATGTTGACCAGGATGGTCTCGATCTCTTCACCTTGTCATCCACCCGCCTCAGCCTCCCAAAGTGCTGGGATTATAGACGTGAGCCACCGCGTCCGGCCTGTTTTTCTTATCAGACTTCCGGTCAAATGTTTTCAGTGAGTTTCTCCTGTACAGCAAACTCCTGCATGTTTTATAAATTAGCAAAAAGTGAAACATCAACAATTATAAATCACAGAACACAAGACTTCTAAGAGATACCCCCAGAGATCTCATGCATTCCACATATACTCCTTCTTATCCCCACTGGGCCATAAGAACCCAATTTCTCCTTAATAGACAAGGTCAATCACTCTGGCCAGTACAGTTAACCCCTTTTTTTGCCCTTAGGTTCACTTGGCAATGTGGAGCCCAAGATAACCCGGAGACAGTCTCAACTTCTGATTTAATGGAAGCATTGGTATGTCCTTTGGTGATTTTTATTTATTTTTATAGATTCTTGTAAGAAATGCTGCATTCACCAATATTCTTAATGGCACAGATAAGGCTATTATGTGGAAAAACATGAATCTCAATTATTGAGTTGAGAAATGGTTCAGGAATCTTGGCCTGAATAAGCAGTTTAAGAATAACTTAGCTGTGTACTATGAGTCATGCCTGTAATCCCAGAACTTTCAGAGGCCAAGGCGGATGGATCACAAGGTCAGGAGTTCAAGACCAGCCTGGCCAACATAGTGAAACCCTTTTTCTACTAAAAATACAAAAATTAGCCAGGTGTGGTGGTACGCACCTGTAGTCCCAGGTCTCGGGAGGGTGAGGCAGAAGAATTGCTTGAACCCGGGAGACAGGTTGCAGTGAGCTGAGACTGTGCCATTGCACTCCAACCTGGGTGACAGACTGAGACTCCATCTCAAAAAAAAAAAAGAAAAGAAAAGAAAAAAATACCTTAACCAGTTTATTTCATTTATATTTTCCTCTTAATGTTTGCATAGGAATTAGATATAACAATCCATGTCTAATTAAGTATAAAAGAGTTGTTTCACTAGGTATAAAAAGTTCCAAGTGATATTATAATTTTAAATTAGTCACATTGTTTCTTTCTTAGTGGTATATACATTAATGGTGTGTCATACAATGGATGTGTCTAAGATTTGATGAAATATGGTGCATACTTAATATGGTCTTCAAGTTATAATTATCTGTTATGGTTTTAATGTCCCCTCCAAAACTCACATTGAGATTTAATTGCCATGGTACAGTATTAAGAGGGTGAGGCCCTTAAGGAGTAATTAGGTCATGAATGCTCTGCCCTCACAAATGGATTAATGCTGTTATCGTGGGAGTGGGTTCCTGACAAAAAGGATGAGTTGAGCTCTCCCCTCTCTTGCTTCCTCTTACACCACTCCTTCCATGTGATACCTTCACCCATAGGGTAACCCTCAACAGATACTGGTACCATGGTCTTGGACTTCCCAGCCTCCAGAACTGAGAGCCAAATACACTTCTTTTTATTATGAATTACCCAGTCTTGGGTATTCTATTGCAGTAACAGAAAACAGGCTAAGATATTCTCTAAACATGTTTATAAATTATTTCATTTGATACTTATATGAATCCTATTACATAAGGTGGGCGCCATTTTTCCATAATGCAAGTGAAACTCAAGCAATTTTCCTTTTCTTTTTGAAACAAGATCTTGCCGTATTGCCCAGACTAGAGTATGGCTGCACAATCTCAGATCACTGCAACCTCTACCTGCTGGGCTCAAGCAATCCTCCCACCTCAGCCTCCCGAGTAGCTGACACTACAGGCATACACCACCACACCTAGCTAATTTTTTGTAATGTTAGTAAAGACGAGGTTTTACCACATTGCTCAGGCTAGTCTTGAACTCATGACTAGCCATGAGTTCAAGCCACCATGTGCCCACCTCAGCCTCCCAAATTACTGGGATTATAAGCATGAGTCACTGCACCCAGCTATAATTTTTCTTTTCTTTTTTTTTTTTTGAGACAGAGTTTCAATTTTGTTGCCCAGGCTGGAATGCAATGACACAGTCTTGGCTCACTGCAACCTCTGCTTCCCAGGTTCAAGCAATTCTCCTGCCTCAGCCTCCTGAGTAGCTGGGATTACAGGCATGCACAACCACACCTGGCTAATTTTTTGTATTGTTAGTAGAGATGGGGCTTCTCCATGTTGGTCAGGCTGGTCCTGAACTCCCAACCTCAGGTGATCCACCCACCTTGGCCTCCCAAAGTGCTGGGATTACAGGCATGAGCTACTGCACCTGGCAAATTTTTCTTTCTTTCTTTTTGTTCTTAAATGAGTGAGGCTGTGTGTCTGTTCTCATGCTGCTAATAAAGACACACCCAAGACTCAGTAATTTATAAAGTAAAAGAGGTTTAATGGATTTATAGTTCCACATGGCTGGGCAGGCCTCACAATCATGGTGGAAGGCAAAGAAGGAGCAAAGTCACATCTTACATGGAAGCAGGCAAGAGGGCATGTGCAAGGGAACTCCCCTGTCTAAAACCATCAGATTGCCAGGCATGGTGGCTCATGCCTGTAATCCCAGCACTTTGGGAGGCTGAGGTGTACCAAGGACCAGTTCAGCAGTAGAGACCCCCCGACCCAGGTGGCACTGAAGGAATTGAGAAGCAGACACCCAGATGGAACAGCAAAGTGGGACTATCCAGGGGGCCAATAACCTTCCCAGCTGAGAGCTAAGGGGGCTGAGGGCCTCAAGCAGATTCTGACCCACACATTTATTCTCACTGAACAGGTGATGATCATTATCAAACAGATGTTTGGTATTTTCTCATAACACAAAAATATACTGGGTGGGCAGCGGGTGCCCACTTACCACTGATCACAGACAAACTAAAAAATGTTCTCCATGAAAGAGCCATGGGGGCAGGGTCACATATCCCGACTTAAAGAATTGTTTTAACTGGTATATGATATTTATATATTGTCCTGCCACTTTAGAATGCCCCAAGTAGTTTTCTACTTGCAGGGGGCAGCTAGATTTTCCTTGCCATTGTTCTTCCTAGCAAACAATATATTTTATCATACACTCAGCATTTCTCAGCAATCATACACTCAACATTTCTCAACAGAGGCAGGTGAATCACTTGAGGTCAGGAGTTCGAGACTAGCCTGGCCAACATGGAGAAACCCCATCTCTACTAAAAATACAAAAATTAGCTGGGTGTAGTGGTGGGCGCCTGTAGTCCCAGCTACATATGCCTATAGATGGTAGAAACTCATTTTTAGAATTTTTTTGATTACACCAATCTCCAATGATCACTTGACTTCCATTTCTGAATTCATAGTCTTTAAGTATCTGACAGTTTATCTAGTTTATTTATTTATTGCTTACTATGAAGATGATGTATGATTGCTTAAAAACTTGAAATATTGGGCTGGGCACAATGGCTCACGCCTGTAATCCCAACGCTTTGGGAGGCTGAGGTGGGGGGCGGGGATCACCCGAGATCAGGAGTTCAAGACCATTCTGGCCAACATGCTGAAATCCCATCTCTACTAAAAATTCAAAAATTAGCCAGGTGTGGTGGTGGGTGCCTGTAATCCCAGCTACTCGGGAAGCTGAGGGAGGAGAATCACTTGAACCTGGGAGGCAGAAGTTGCAGTGAGCTGAGATCGCACCATTGCACTACAGCCTGGGTGACAAAAGAGAAACTGTGTCTCAAAAACAAGAAAAAACAAAAAAAAATCTTGAAATATTACAGAAATACAGAACAAAGAGTGATCAGTCTCCATATTTCTGCCTTCAAAGATAACTGCCATGTTACTCTGTTTTCACATTGTTATAAGGATAGTATCTGAGACTAGGTAATTTATAAACAAAAGAGGTTTAATTGATTCAGTTCCACATGGCTGGGGAGGCCTCAGGAAATTTACAGTCATGGCAGAAGGCAAGAGGAAGCAAGGCACATCTTCACAAGGCAGCAGGAGAGAGAGAGAGGACAAATGGGAAAGTGCAAAACACTTTTAAAACCATAAGCTCTTGTGAGAAATCCTTCACTGACGCAAGAACAGCATGATCCAATCACCTCCCACCAGGTCCCTCCCTGAACACATGGGGGTTGCATTTGGAGATAAGATTTGGGTGGGGACGCAGAGCCAAACTATATCAATCACTGTTAACAACCACTGTTAACAGCGTGGTAGATGTTGCTTCAGACTGCCTGGGTTTCTTTTTCAGCCCTTCCATTTAGCTGTCAGCCTTGGACAAATGATTTGTCCTCACATTGTCCAAGTTTCCTTATCTCAGTATAATAGTACAGGCTTGCAGAGTTTGGTGAAGCTTTAATAAAATAATAGTGCCTGAAATATAGTACGTGCTTAATAAATGCTAGTTTGTGTACATACATTTGCATATAGTCAGAATAAGGTTGCAATAACGAACAACCCAAATTTCTGTGGCTTAACACAAGTATTTTTCTTGCCTTACATCAATTGGTAGGGTACTTTCTCCGTGCAATCACTCAGGGATGGAGGCTAATGGCAGTTCCACCCTATTCTGGTCAAACTCTGAAATATATGATATCTTTAGTGACCAGAGTAATGACAAGAGACTGGAAAATAATACATGGAACCTTTACTGCCTCATCCCATAATTGACATACTTCCCATCCATTCCCAATTTATTTGTTGTATTAGTAATTATAACCCTGCATAGCTGCCAAGTTAGCAGGGAAATTCAGAGTAGACAATATTTGATGACTGCTGTACCTCTATCACAATCCATATCTTTTTTCCCTGGAATGGTATAATGCTGTTCAAACCATACTGTAATTTTTCTATTGTTCTATTTTTTAACAAATCCCAATATTAATATATATTCACTCATTGCCTGTTAAGCCCTTCTATGTATCAGGAATTGTTCTAGGTACTAGTACATATCAATGAAGAAAACATTTGATAATCCTTGACTTTGTGTAGTTTATTAGATTGTGAACAGATGAAAAAAACTGGAAAAATTATAAAACGTTAGAAGGTGATCAAAGTCATAATGAAAAACAGGAAAGGGAAGAGGCAGAAGGAGTGCTGAGGTGCAGTGTTAAGTAGAAGAGTCAGAGAAGACCTCTCTGAAATGTCATTTGAGTTAAATTTTGAAAGGTGTGAGGAAGTGAGCCTTGTGACTATGTCTAGAGGAAGAGCATTCCAGGAAAATAAAACTGTCAGAGTGGCTTCATGATGCCTGAAAATGCATTTTACTATTTTTGGACATGTCTGAAATTTTCCATGAAAAAAATTAAAAACCAAAAAGTAGCCCGAGTAAAGCTCTCATGGAGCTTTTATATCTGCATTTTGGAAAAGAATTATGCTGAAAAATGTAACAGATTATCTCAATTCTCTTTTTAAAAAAATCTTACCAATTTGCTGGGCACAGTGACTCACGCCTGTAATCCCAGCACTTTGGGAGGCTGACGC